GCTGCCCAGGGCACCGTGATATTTTTTATGTGTGTGTGTGTGTGTAGATGTTTTTGTCCACAGTTCTGGTTCATCACTTCCATAGCCCTTTGTTGGGGCACTGCAGGCCTCAAAAATGGAATCTCTGTCTGTGACCTTATGCCCTCATTTCACTTGCTCAATGCGACTCTAATCTGACTGTAGCTCATAAGACCCTCATTCCAGAGAGGGTCCTGCCCCATACCTGGGAAGGAGGAACACTGCACAGAGAGATCAGGAAGCATCTAGACCGACAGGACTTGCTGGGTTTAGACCTTATGCTTTTTGTCCAGTTTCATCTCAACATGGTTGCCATGCTTCAGCCATGCCTATCCAATGATGTCTCCATAAAAGGCCCAGGAAGGTAGGCTTTGGGGAGCTTCTGGAGAGCTGAACATGTGGAGGGAGGGAGGGGAACGAGAATTTGTCCATGTGCCAAGAGGATGGCACACCCCTACTCCATGGGGACAGAAGCTCCCTCATTTGCCCAGGACCCTTCCAGACCTCACCCAGTGTGTATCTTCATCTGGCTGTTTACTTATTTGTATCCTTTCTAATAACATTTGTAATAAACTGGTAAACATAAGTTTCCCTAAGTTCTGTGAGCCACTCTGGCAAATCATCCCACCCAAAGAGGGTGGTCAGTCCAACGTGCGGAGGGGGCAGTCTCGTGGGACAGAGCCCTGAACCTGTGGATTCCATTTCCAGATACTATAGGTACGGTCAGCACTGAATTGAATTGGAGGATACCCAGCTGGTGTAGGCTGCAGAATTGCTTGCTTGCTTGGTGTCGGGAGAAATCCCCAACACATTTGGCCACAGATGTCTCTTGGCGTTGAGAGAGCAGCGGAGGAAAACACAGTTTGAGTTCATGTTTTTTCCACTCTGGGTACTGTCACAGTTGACGCAACTGGTGCGGGTCTGGGGTGCTCTGGGCTACGTTTCACACCCTGGTCTGGGGATCCTAGGAGCTGGCATTTGTTTTTGGATCCTAACCAGAGCTTGATGTGCCGCTTCTTCTCCACATGGCCTTTCTGTCCACAAAGGAGCTGCTCAGCCTGCTCTTCCCAAGCTTTCCAACATCCTCCAGACACTGCCGGCGGCTGGGGAGCGCAAGCGAGCACAGAGCAGTGCCTGGTACAGGGCCTCCACCCTGGGGATGGGGCCATCAGGGAGACCCTGTTGTCTGTGTTGTTCATTTCCTTGGCCCAGAGGGGAGATGTGCAGGTTCCCAGGGCCAAGCCAGTGGCACTCGGCTCCTGCCACTGTGGGCCAGGGTCACGTTGCCCTTTGATCTGACAGTCGTGGGGTACACAGGGCTGCCCAGGGCACTGTGCTGCCTCTGCAAGCTCACACCAGAACTGCACTCCAGGAGCAATCTGTATCCTGCAGCAAATTCAGGGGCGCTTTCATAGAAGGTGAGGGTGGAATGTGGAGGATGAATAGAATTATGATAATTGGAGAACTGAGGAAGGGTATGTGTGGGATACTAAGAAATATTTGGTCTTCCTCCTGGGTTCCTAACACGGGGCTCCAAGCTCCAACAACCCTTGAAATTTCATGAGTGGTGAATGTCTTGGTATTCATAACCCCTTTCCAGCCCATTTGAGTTAATGCTAATGAAGTTGTTACAGTAGGGCCCCTAGATTGCCTCAGGGTCGCTCCTGCACCAGAAAGTCCAGGTGATTTCGAAGGTGGAAACTTTCAATCCCAAGCAGTGACTCCTGGGAGTCCGGCTGACTGAGGTGGAGCACTTTACAAACTTGAGATTCAGGGCTGGGCGCGCGGTGGCTCACGCCTGTAATTCCAGCACTTTGGGAGGCCGAGGTGGGCAGATCACCTGAGGTCAGGAGTTTGAGACCAGCCTGGCCAACATGGTGAAACCCCATCTGTATTAAAATACAAAAATTAGCCGGGCATGGTGGTGGGTGCCTGTAATCCCAGCTACTCGGGAGGCTGAGGCAGAAGAATTACTTGAACTTGGGAGGTGGAAGTTGCAGTGAGCCAAGACTATACCACTGCACTCCCAGCCTGGGAGACAGAGCAAGACTCCGTCTCAAAAAAACAAACAAACCCAAAACTTGAGATTCCAGTGGCTGCCAGTTGCTCCCATCCCTTACCCTGTTCATCTCGAGTGTGGCTGTTCCTGCCCGCACTGCATCCCTGAGGACACCACACCAGGAAGCGTCAGGGCAGGGCGATCCTCAGTTCTGATTCACTCTGGCAAATTATTGAACCTGAGGGGGTGGAGTCATGGGAACTCCTGAATGTGTAGTTGGCCAGGAAGTGTGGGTAGCCCTGACGTTGGTGTCAGACATCTGGAAAAGTGGTTTCAGAAAACACCACACAGTATGCAAGGCTGAGGGGAAACGCCAGTGTAAAAATAACACGTGAGTAACAAGTTTAGGTGGTTTCGGGCCAGCAAAGCCCAAGAGGGCTCTGGTTTAGGGTCTGTGGAGGAAGGTGGCCCTGTCCGTGGAGCATCGGGGCCGGGTGGGGATGGCTATAGTGCTGTGGAGAGGAGTTAAGCCTGCCTTGAGGGTGATTTCAGGGTGAAGATAGGCCTTGACCTGAGCTGGGTTTGGAGGGAGAATTATTGGTGGCCTGATGGGGTCTCAGACTGAGGGTCAAGTGTGTCCCTTCCTTCCTGGCTGGATGAGCATCTAAGTCACTGCCTCTCGGAGGCTCACGTCCATAACAGTAAAGCAGGGATGGTTTTGTCTCTCCTGGAGGGCTTCCTGCAAGAGTGTTGGTGAAATGAATTTCTGTTTGTGAAGCTGTGCATTTTCGTCAGCAGTTATCAATCAACAAACACCTGTAGCCAGTCCTGCACTGGGCCCACGATCACCCAGGGATGAAGTGGTGACTGAAAGGAGGAACAGGCCAGAGGCTTCACCAGCCAAGAGGTGACGGGGCTGAGACTCAGCCTGGCTCTATCTTCCTCCCGCTGCCACTATCCCCTCTGGTGTTCTGGTGGCCCCTGCTGCCAATTCCTGCTCCTCACGAGGGCCCCTGCTCCCTGGTCTTTTCTCCAGACTTCCTCATGGTTGGCACTTGGGAGCACCAGGCTGCGGGCTCACCTCCAGCTGCCTGCATTTGAGCAGATTCCATGCCAGCCCCAGGCACTAGAGGAAGACATCAGTGAGCGCCGGCATAGGCCACGGGGCCACCTCAGTGGCAGCTGCTCTTTATCTGAGCAATGGGCTTCCACTCACCTTCCCCTGCCCCTGTCCTGCACCTGGGGAGAGAATGATCATTGTGTCACGCAAGTACATTTGGGACCTCCTGCTGCTTCCTCTAGATGGTTTGAGTCCAAAGCCCTGGGGTGTAGTTTTCATTCTGCTCTGGAGAGCTGGTGCTGGGCTCTCAAGGTCTGGGCCCCTGGCATGGGGGGAGCCTTGGGAGGTGGAGGCCCCTCCACCTGGCCCTGCAGTAGAGGGTGCCCTGGGCCTGCTCGTCTTAGATCTTTCACTCACAGGTGCGAGGAGCATGGAGCTGAGGCAGGAACCGGAGTTGGCCCCGCATACCTCGCTGCCCCTCCACACCACTGCAGCATGGACAGGGCGGGTCAAGCAAAGCCACAGCCAGCACAGCCCTCTCTGACCGTCTCACCCTCACCTGTGATACACTGTGGGTAGAGACCCACTTCATTTTCCTCTTAAGAGAAAAAGGATGGTGCAAGGGCACTGGAAAGGCCTGGGCGTGAGTCCTGGGGTGGTCAGGACTGTGGCAAACCGGAGGGTATATACCACATGAAGAGACTTGACATCTCTGCGACTCCATTCCCCCCATGTGGAAGTGAGGACCTGGCATTACCAAGCTTTGACATTTTCAAGAGAAGCCGGGCATCGAGATTTTAATGTAGTAAAAGATGTTGCCAATTTAAAAAGATTGGCAACCAATTTAAATTTCTAAAACATTAGGTGGACTGATTACAGCCGACGGCACCACAAGAGAACAATCTCTGCTTTTGTCTGGTGCCCAGGCTCCTGAGAGACACTAGGCCAGGCCCTGGCAAGAGAGGGAAGAGTGGGTATGAGACAGCATCTGCCCAAGTGGGTCCCATCCACGCGCCTGCAGCCTGGCTCTCCTCTGCTTTTTCTGTTTCCTCCCAGTTGGTGGTTCTGCCTGGGCCTTTCTGCCTCCAGGGCCGGGAAGGCTGCCTGAGTGCGCCCCTCATCCTCTGCGATGGTCGACTGCCCTGAGCCAATGCAGGTAGTGCCAGCAGGACCCAGTCCACTCACACATTCTGGGACAGCTCTGCGCACAGTGACTGGGGCCAGCTCTTGAGTCTTGGCATCCAACAGCAGGTGGCAGTGCCTTTCCAGAGGCCAGAACAGGCCCTTCCCCACAAAACCACAGGCCTTCAGCAGAAGAGGCGCCCTCCACCTGCTATGATGATGGTCACATCACAGCGTGGACAATAAATACCAGATCTCAAAAGGGGAAGGAGGGTGGGTCACAGAATGGAGGAAAAACTTACAGAATGAGCATCCCAGGACCATGTCTTAGTCACCTCTGACCAGCACTGAGTGGGTGCTAATCAATACTGCTGAATCGATACTTTGCCGTCTTGCTTGAGATGTGAAAATTAGGATGGACCTCACCCCTCAACTGCAGCAGCTTGGTTCCTTCTTGAACTATCGACCTGCCAACCCTGGATGCCTGCTGAGAGGTCAAAAGGGAGCAGGAGTGGCAAGACTTCCCCTCCCGCCCCTAAGCCCATCCTTCTCTGCAGACTTCACATACTGCACACTCCGCCTGTTCTGGCTGACGGGGACCCAAGCGCATCCTGGTCCAAGGCTGGGCATGGGGTCCACGTCTGGTAGAAAGGTCCCAGTGCTCAGTCACAGCCTCATTCTACCATCGATGGACTGACAAGTCAACTTTCTGAGGCACTTCCCAGAGACCTCGGGATCCTACCTGTGTGTAGGGTCCCAGCCCAGGACATTCAGTTCCTCTCAAGGACATCACACTCATCCTTTCGCGGAAAACCATTTTAATTATAATAGCTTACACACGCTGCAGAGAGGGAGACGCAGAACTGGACCTGAGGGGCTGTGCTTTCAAACTGCCCAGTCTCCTTCCCGGCTCTGAACAGGTTAGCAAGAGTTCTAAGCGCCCCGGGCCTCCAACCACAAAGGCAGAGAACAGTTAGCCCCGGAAAGCTGACAGGGGAAGGCAGGGAGGCTGAGAGTGCTTGGTATTCGAAAGATGAGTGTTGTGGTGGGCGGAGTATGGAGTCACACAGAGGCTCCACCCAGCAAGGCCTCTGGCCAGGGGCTGTGTTTAAGGCTGGGGTCAGGCAGAGGTGGGAGCTGCAGGGGAGAGAAGTCTGGCTGGCAAGCCCCAAGGGAAGGACAAACGCACTGGGGCAGATGTGACCATGGACAACAGCAGTGCAGGCAGGGCCCCTACAACGCTACAGCAAGCAAGGCCGTCCACGAAGCTCAGGGACTTGGTCTCCGCACAAAAGCATCTCCCAGCCAGAAGTTGGAGCCAAAGCCCCAAGCCCAGCCCTGCCCCGTAACAGAATGTGGATGTGGGGCTGGGTCAGCATGGGGTCCCACCACTTGCTCAGTGGCAGTTCTGACAGCTTGGGTGGCAAGGAATCCCATTCACCCTGCAGCGGCAGCCCCCGCTGGTGTCTCCTGGGCCCTAGAAGATGACAGGAAGAGAAGAGAATGTCAGGGCAGTGCAGAGACTGCCCCCACAGCCGAGTACTCTCCCACCTGGGCCTTTGCCTCTGCAGGCCCTCCTGCAAGAATGGCCTTGTCGGCCTCAGCTGCCTGATGGAGAGTCACTGAGGCCTTTTCTGGGCTCCCACAGCACTCAGTCTACCCAAGCCTAGATCCAGGAACAGGCCAGGGAGAGGATCTGACCACTCTGCATATTCTAGACATGTCAGCATACTGGCAGCATGCAAGAAGGCAGTTTCCTCCGCCTCTACCTGTCTGAAAGTCTACCTGAACGTTACAACAGGCTCCCAGTTCCAGAGCACACCCCTAATAATGACAGCTACCATTTGCAAGAGTGCTCACCAAATGACAGACTCTCTAAGCACTTCTCTTGCAATTTTTCCACTTGATTCTGACAACAAGCCTGAGATAAGTCCAGCTATCATCTCCATTTCACAGAGGAAACAGGGCTGAGAGAGGTGAGCGGCAGCCTAATCACACAGTCAGTATGTGCCAGAGCCAGGGGCCAATCCACCTCTAACTCCAGATGGAACCTTTACTTGCTGTCCTCTAGGGCAAGGGTGGGCAAACACCTTTTCTACAAAGGGCCGGTCATTTTGGGCTGGGCAGCCATATGGCCTCTGCCTCTGCAGTGTGAAAGCAACCACAGACAACATGTAAATGAACGAGCACGGCTGTGCTCCAAAGCACTTTACCTATGGACACTGAAATGTGGATTTCATGTAATTTTCATGTCACAAGATAGTCATCTTTTGGTATTTTTTCAACCATTTAAAGATGTAAAGGACATTCCTGTGGCCGGGCACGGTGGCTCACGCCTGTAATCCCAGCACTTTGGGAGGCTGAGGCAGGCGGATCACCTGCGGTCAGGAATTTGAGACCAGCCTGACCAACATGGAGAAACCCTGTCTCTACTAAAAATACAAAATCAGCCAGGCATGGTGGCGCCTGTAATCCCATCTACTTGGGAGGCTGCGGCAGGAGAATTGCTTGAACCTGAGAGGCAGAGGTTGCGGTGAGCCGAGACTGCGCTATTGCACTCCAGCCTGGGCGACAAGAGCAAAACTCCGTTTCAAAAGAAACAACACTCTGACCTCGGGAGCTGTACGAAGTCAGGTGCTGGGTTGGATATGGCCCATGGGCTGTAGTTTTCCAAGCCCTCCTCTAAGGCAAACCCACAAGGGCACCCTCTCCACACCACCACCAGCGAAGACTCACCCCGGGGCCCCAGCGTGGGCCCTTGGTGACCCAGCAGATCTCGGTGTGGCAGACGGTGCAGCGGATCCAGTCGCAGCCGTCCTTCTTCTGTACCACGATCTGGCACTGGGGGCAGCGCATGGCCTCGCCCTGCAGCAGCATCACCTGGAGCGGGACAGGCGCTGGCCTTGGGGCGGGGCTGGGGCAGTCACCCAGCCTGGCTCCTCCCCATGGCAGGGAGAAGATAGAGACCCTCTGGTGCTGTGGAGTCTATCCTGTGCAGCTCCGCCAGGCCAGGCTCCGTCCAGCAAGCCCCTCTTCATTCCTATGGTCTCCACCCTCCACCCAGACGCTCTTCCCAACATGACAACTTGGCCTAAGTCCCATCTCTGGATGGAAGTGACAGCCAGAAGGGAGACCAGAGCCTCCAGGGATGTGTGAGCACAGCCCTTGCTGAGAAGCCCCCAGTCCCCACCTGGATCCCAGAACTTAAAATCCCTAGGCCTCGGCCCTGTCCCAGCCTCACCTTCAGCATCTCTGTCGTCTGCCGGGCAGCCACATCATTCTGAGCCCGCAGGGCCAGGTCCTCCTGATACTCCTTGCAGTTCATCTGCTCGTGGATGGCCTGCAGCAGGTGAGGGACTCAAGGTGAGAAGGTTCCTCAGGGGGTTAAGAAGCTGGGAGAGGTGAGGCGCAGGGCAGGAGTCCACAAAGGCACTTAATGCCTCTAGGTGTAGTCACTGGCAGGACCTCACTTTGTCAAGCATAAGCCATTTTACAGAAGAGGATACTGGCACCAGGGAGGTGAAGTCAAGGTCATCACATATGCTAACACAAAATATACCTCAGCCTCTTGAGTAGCACAAGCTATCAGCACATGCTGCCACACCCAGCTTATTTAAGTTCTGATGGGCACGGAAATCCCTTACACCCGTAAGGTGAAACCCTGCATCCCTGCCAAGGCCCTGCCCGGGGTTACAGGCCCAATGACCCCAGACTGAGCTTGCTCAGGCTGAGTGTGAGACCAGGCTCCAGACCTGTTTACCGGCTCCTCACCTTCCACTTTTGAGATGAAGGGGCAGGGACAGGCCTAGGGGAAGGATCATGCAGGGCTGTCTGGGTTTGGGGTCAGCACTCAGTTCAGGACAGGGGCGGAGACGTGGCATAGGGCCAGGGTCGGGCATTAGTCTGTGACAGGTTCAGTCAGAAGCCAGGGTCAGAGCTTAGTTCAGGGTCTGGGCTGAATATGGGACCACCTTAAGTGACAAGTGCAGGGTCAGGTTTGGTCAGAGGCCGAGTCTATGGACTTGGATGGGGTCAGGGCTCAGTGTGGGACTGGGATTCAGTCTGTGACTGGGGTTGACTGGTCCCAGGTCAGGGCTCCATTGTGGACCAGGGCTGCCTAGGTTGGAGGCTCCATCTGGGGCCGGGTCTGGGACCCCATCTGTGGGGCCAGGGCTTGGTTCAGGCTCGAGCCACACTCTCCCACCGACATGCAGCTCTAAGTCATGACTAGCAGGCCAGGGTCATAGCTCCCTTCCCAGGAGAACACGCACTTGCAGTGGTAAGCTCCAGGCAAGATGACAGTGACTAGGTGGGGTGAGTCCCTGGCCCCACCTTGCAGAGCAGGCAGTTGACGTGGAAACACACAGGGCAGGTGAACTCGTTGACATCATCCTCAAAGAAGCACCATCCCTTGCAATCTGGGGTCTTGCAATGGTAGCTGAAGGCACTGCGGTTTTCAGCAATGGAGATGCCCAGGTCTAGAAATCGCTGGTAATCCTCAGGGGTCAGGAGCTGCCAACAGACCACGTCCTTGTTGCTCAGGATTCAGAACACCTGACATATGACCCTTGACCACCATATACCTTCCAGAAAGCCCCCAGCCCATAAACTCCAACCCAGGCCAGGCTTTTTCCTTCATGTGATCCTCATAGTGTTGAAAAACTCCATTCAAAAAGTGGATTTTAGGCCAGGCATGGTGGCTTATACCTGTAATCCCAGCACTTTGGGAGGTCAATCAAGGCAGGAGGATTCCTTGAGGCCAAGAGTTTAAGATCAGCCTGAGAAATACAGTGAGACCTCATCTCTACAAAAAAATTAAAAAAAAAAAAAAAAAAAAAAAGCAGGTGTGGTGCTCACACCTGTAGTCCCAGCTACTTGGGAGGCTGGGTTGTGAGGATCGCTTGAGCCCAGAAGGTCAAGACTGCAGTGAGCCATGACTGATGCACTGCACTCCAACCTGGGTGACAGAATGAAATCCTAGCTGGAAAAAAAAAAAAAAAAAAGGAAAAGAAAAGTAAAAAGAAAGTAGGGGGAATTTCTAAAAGTTTTGGTGGTGGATGGTGGTAATGGTTGCACAGCAGTGTGAATGTACTAAATGCCACTGAACGGTACACTTAAAAACTGGTTAAAATGGTAAATGTTATGTCTACTTTCTCACAATAAAGAAAGGAACATAAACAATAAGCAATGTTGGGAAAGACATGATTAAACTAGTATTCTATAAAGAAAATGTGGTACATATACACAATGGAGTACTACTCGGCCATAAAAAAAGAATGCAATTCTGTCATTTAGAGCAACATGGAGGAACTGGAGGTCATTATGTTAAATGAAATAAGCCAGGCACAGACAGACAAACATTACATGTTCTCACTTATTTGCAGGTGCTAAAAATCAAAACAACTGAACTATCAAAGACAGAGAGTAAAAGGATGGTTACCAGAAGCAGCGAAGGGTAGTGGGGCATGGGAAGGGAGTGGGGATGGTAAATTGGTACAAAGAAATAGAATAAGAACTGGTATTTGATAGCACAACAGACAGACTATAGTCAATAATTTAATTGTACATTTTATAATAACTAAGAAAGCATAACTGGACTGTCCATAACACAAAGGATAAATGCTTGAGGGGATGGCTTCCCCATTCTCCATGATGTGATTATTACGCACTGCATGCCTGTATCAAAGTATTTCATGTACCCCAGAAATGTATACACCAACTATGTACCCTCAAAAATAAAAAATAAAAATTAAACAAACAGCTGACCCACCAGCGAGGCCCAGGTGAAATCAGCGAGGCCCCGCCCAGATCAGAAGAACCATCCGGGTAAGTCCAATCCAAATTATAGTCATCCCTCGGTATCCAGAGAGAATTGGTTCCAAGATCCCTGCAGATACCCAAATCCAGGGATGCTCAAACTCTTTAGATAAAACGGCATAGTATTTGCATACAACCTACCAACATCCTCCCATACACTTTAAATCACCTGTAAATTACTTATAATACCTAATATAACATAAATGTTATATAAACAGTTCATGCTGTATTGTTTCCAAAATTTGGTTTTTATTGTAATTTTTTTGTTTTCTTTTTTTTTTTTTTTTTTTTTTGAGACGGAGTCTCGCTCTGTCGCCCAGGCTGGAGTGCAGTGGCACGATCTCGGCTCACTGCAAGCTCCGCCTCCCGGGTTCACGCCATTCTCCTGCCTCAGCCTCCCGAGTAGCTGGGACTACAGGCGCCCACAACCGCGCCCGGCTAATTTTTTTTTGTATTTTTAGTAGAGACGGGGTTTCACCGTGGTCTCGATCTCCTGACCTTGTGATCCGCCCGCCTCGGCCTCCCAAAGCGCTGGGATTGCAGGCGTGAGCCGCCGCGCCCGGCCAACTTGCAGATTTATGAGCTAAATAAATGACTGTTGTTTTGAGCCTGCAGTGATTTGTTACACAGTAAGTGCTAACAACAACAAAGGCTTACCATGTGACAAGCACTACTCTAAATATATATATAGTTTTTGAGACGGAGTTTCGCTCTGGTTGCCCAGGCTGGAGTGCAATGGCGCAATCTCAGCTCACTGCAACCTCCACCTCCTGGGATCAAGCGATTCCCCTGCCTCAGCCTCTGGAGTAGCTGGGATTTCAGGCATGTGCCACCATACCCGGCTAATTTTGTATTTTTAGTAGAGATGGGGTTTCTCCATGTTAGTCAGGCTGGTCTCGAATTCCCGACCTCAGATGATCTACCCATCTTGGCCTCCCAAAGCGCTGGGATTACAGGAATGAGCCACTGTGCCTGGCCGCACTACTCTAAATTCTATACACATATGCTCTGCCATAATCTTTGTAATCCTGGAAATAGAAGCTGTAACTCTGACTCTAACAGAGATGAGATAGAGGCATAGAGAGGTTAAATATCTGACTTACGGTCACACACCCAGGCCACCAGGCTCCAGAGTTCCCCGACTATTTTTTTTTCTTTTTTTGAGGCAAGGTCTCACTCTGTTGCCCAGGCTGGAGTGTAGTGGCACAATCACAGCTCACCGTAACCTTGACCTCCCAGGCTCAAGCAATCCTCCCACCTCAGCCCACTCACTCCTGACCCCCGCCCGAGTAGCTAGGACTACAGGCGCACGCCCTCGCGACTGGCTATTTTTTGAATATTTTTTGGAGAGACAGGGTTTTGCCACGTTGCCCAGGCTGGTCTGGAGCTCATGGGTTCAAGCAATCTGCCCACCTTGGCCTCCCAAAGTGCTGGGATTACAGGTGTGAGCTGCCACGCCGAGCCAAGTCCCTGACTCTTAACAACTCTGCTGTCTTTCCTTCATAGATGTGGTTTCTTGACTAGCTACTCCCCTCAATTCTTTCTCTGCTTGGGGTCTCAGCACCCCACATAGACAAATCTCTTGAAAAATGTCTGGGGGGCCAAGGATGGATGATCGCTTAAGCCCAGGAGTTTGAGACCAGCTTGGACCACATAGGGAGACCCCCATCTCCAAAAAAAAAAAAAAGAAAAGAAAAGAAAAAGAAAGAAAAGATGCCTGCTGCCTGAGCCAGTCCCTAGCTGCCTGCTCCGGGCCCAGTTCCTTAGGACTGGGGTATGTCTCCCACCCCGAGGCCTTACCGCCTTGATCTCCCTCTCCAGCAGCTTGCCCGAGCACGAGTAGGTGTTGTCAATGAAGGGGCAGGAGACCTCCGCCTCCTGGCTGTTGCGGATGGTGCCCTGCAGGCACTCCCTAGGGGAGGGGAGGGGAGAAGAGTTAGGATCATAGGAACCCCATCCACTGGGGACTCCACCCCTCACATGGCAAGGCCTGACCCCAGGGGCCTCACTCAGTCACCCCAGGTGGGCTTCTCCTCAATATCCCCTTCCTTCCCATCCCTCTCACCAACCCATCACCAAGGCCTCCAATCCTGTCTCCATATGGCCGCTCCAATTCTCTGGTCCAGGCCCCATATCCCCCGCCTGGGCGACTTCAGGAGCCTCCTCACTGGGCTCCCTGCATCCATCTGGCCCCTAAAGTCTATCTCAGAACAGCAGCCATGTCTCCCCAGTGACCCCCATCCCACCCAGAACAAATCCCAACTCCTCATCGCTGCTCACAGACCCAACACCTCTCTATCCTGCTCTTTGATTACCCCCTTCATCCCTCTGCTCCAGCCACCAAGAGACCTCCTCAGCCTCCTCCAACACGCCAGGCCCACACCTACAGCAGGGCTTCCAGTCCCAGCTCTGGAGCTACCTCCTTGGAAGCTTCCAGACCACCCTTTCCAGGAAGGACTCCTGTTGTCTCTTAACGTACTGTATGTAGCATTTGACATAATTCACAAGGACATCAACCAGTGATTATCCAATTCACATCAGCCTCTCTGCTGGAATGTAAGCTCCAGGAGGCAGGCATGGAGCCTGTCACCCAGGGACTGCTCCACAAGGGTCTGCTGTGGTGAGTGGGTCTGTGTTCCCCACATTCAGGGGTGGAAGGGCCATGACAGGAGACTCAGAAACTGGCAGATGCCCACAGCGAGGCTCAGAGCAGCGTGGCTGCAGGAGCCTGGGTGGTGAAAGGTAGAGGGGAAGGGAGGCTCTGGAGTCTCCACCCATGCCTGCGTTCATGTCTAGGCTGCTTCTCTTACGAGCCATGTGGCCTTGGGTAAGCTGCTTGGCCTCTCTGCACCTCAGGTTCCTCATCTGCAAAATGGGGAGACGGAGCCTACCTCGTAGGTTTTCGCGGGCGTCCAGTGAGGTATCAGAGCACAGGGCCCCACCCACGTCCAGCCCTGCGTAACTGGCGGCTTTAATAAAGCTGCATTGCCGGGGGTGGGATTGGGGGCCGCACCTGCAGAAGGTGTGCAGACACTCACGCAGCACCACGGCCTCGCCGGGCGCCAGCACCGAGTAGCACACGGGGCACTCGGCGGGCTCCGTGTTCAGCACCAGGCTCCTCTGGTCCAGCTGGACGTGCTGCAGGTAGTTCCCCTCCTGCTGCTGCTGCTTCCGCTGGGCACACGGGGCGGGGCCACGGGGTGGGTCAGGGCCTCGGGGGCGGGTCAGACCACGAAGGGGGAAGGACCGGAGGGCGTGGTCAGGGCTGGGTCAGACCAGCAAGAGGCAAAGCTGGGAGCCAGTCGGGATCGGGGATCGGGGATCCGGGATGGGGGTGGGCAGGGGTGGTCAGGAGCAGGAAGGTTGGGAGGGGCGGGGCTGGGAGAGAGGCCAGGCGGACCATGGGGAAGCCAAGGGAGGGGAGGCCGGCCAGGTAGCCAGGGAAGGCATCAGGAGAGGGAGCAGTGGCAGCAGGGAAAGGAAGGGGGCCAGGGTCTGAGTGGTGAGTCAGGTAGCAGGGCAGGGCCTGGGCCAGGGCTGGTGGAGCCAGCTCAAGGTCAGGGGTGAGGAAGTGACAAAGCCGGGGAGCAGAGCAAGGCTGAGATGAGAACAGGAGTGGGCTGGCCAGGGGTAGCACCGGGTCCAAGGGGAATGCAGGTGGGCCAGGGGTGAGATCAGAATGGGGAGCACTCGGGGGTCACTGTCTGTGTCATTAGTGTGTGTGTCATGATGGGGGCGGGGGAGGGCTAAGGCGCAAGACCAGGGTTGGGGGTCATCCCCCTAGGGAGCAGTGAGGGTCCAGGCCAGGCTCTCAGGAAGTCAAGGGTGGGCCAAGCCCGAGAGGGATGAGGTCAGGAGTAGGAGAGTACAGGGGGAGGTCACGGGGAGGTGGAGTAGGATTAGGTCACAGGCAGGTGAGGGTGAGGTCCGAGCTGAGGTGTGGTCATGGCTAGGATGCTAGGGTCATAGCCAGCCATACTTGTGTGGTGTGTCAAAGCTAGGGATGGAGCCACAGCTCACGTGGGAGTGAGGCATGTGAATCTGGATGTGCGTCACAGCCAGGGAGTGGGTCTCAGCCACAGGGTGACCTTTGAAAGAGGGCAGGTCACAGCCAGGTGCAGGGTCACTGCCAGCAGCGTGGTTGGGAGGGGCAAGGCAATAATGGGGAGGAGCGGCAATGCACAGGTGTCTCCCTTCCTGGCCTACACCTCCCCCGTGCGGTCTGCAGGTGTCTGTCCAGGGACTTCCGCACCCACCTGCTGGTACTGACGCAGCGCCTCCTCCTCGCCCGCCAGGCGAGCTCGCTCCTCCTCGTCGGGCTGGTATGAGGCGGGGACCTGGTAGGCCTCGGGGCGTGCCCGGCAGCACATCTCACAGCCAGGCCGCGTGGGCTTGTTGATGAAGGTGCACCCGGGGCACTGCCAGCCCACCTGGGAGCAGAGCGGGCTGTGAGCCGGACTGGACAGGGTGGGGCAAGGGAGGGGCACAGAAGAGGATACTGAGGCCAGGGAAGTGTGGTCAGGGACAGCTTACCGGTGGGGGCTCGGGCACTGCATCTGGCTGCCCCCGTCCGGGTTCCTGGGGGACCCTGGGCTTTGGGGGACCTGGTTCCAGAGGGCCCCGTGGCTGCAGCGTGAGGTCCTTGAAGCCCAGATCTGTGGAGAAGGGTTAAGGGGTGGTGGTTCCACGTGGCCCGCTTGGTCCACACCCATGGGGGTGGGTCTCCCTGAGCCAGCCAGGCAGACCCTCCCCCTATCCTCTCCCTCCTCCCTGGGGGCATCTCCAGCTTCCATCTGGCCAAATGGGCATCCTGGCTCCTCCAGGGTCAGGGTCCCTACTCCACCCGCAAATGCTTCTATGTCCTCTGAGCTTCAAAATCTACCATAACACCTGCCTTTCTGTGCCTCCTGAAGGATTCACCAAGTGGGACACAAGAGCACCGCTGAGGCGGTCCTGCCAAAACAGTGGCTCACTCCATTCCCCAGGAAACATCAGCCCCTACCCCCGCCACAAAAAAGAAACTGGCCTAGACTCTTTGAAAGGGATTGAGACATGACAGTTGAATGCCAAGTCTTTGCTATAAATGCTAATAGTGGGACAGCTGGTAAAATCTGAGTAAGATCTGTAGATCAGATACCAGTACTGTATCAGTGTTAGTTTCCTGAGTTGGATTGTTAGGCCTAGTAATGTAAGAAAATGACCTTTCTTTTCAAGGGAATGCACACTGAATTATTTAGGGGAAAGAGACACCATGGCTGCAACTTACTCTCAAAACGGTTCAGAAAATAAAATAATTTTATATAGAAAGAGAATGATAAAAGAAAGCAAATATGGTAAAACCCACATGAAAGGCACACGGGAATTCTTTATATACTACTTTGTAAAATTTGGCAACTTTTCTGTAGGTCTGAAACATTTCACAAGTTAAAAATTAAGAATAGGCCGGGCGTGGTGGCTCACGCCTGTAATCCCAGCACTTTGGGAGGCCGAGGCGGGCGGATCACGAGGTCAGGAGATCGAGACCATCCTGGCTAACACGGTGAAACCCCGTCTCTACTAAAAAATACAAAAAACTAGCCGGGCGAGGCGGCGGGCGCCTGTAGTCCCAGCTACTCGGGAGGCTGAGGCAAGAGAATGGCGTGAACCCGGGAGGCGGAGCTTGCAGTGAGCCGAGATCCGGCCACTGCACTCCAGCCTGGGTGACAGAGCGAGACTACGTCTCAAAAAAAAAAAAAAAAAAAATTAAGAATAAACACTAGTTATCATCACCGTCATACCCAGTTTATGATTTTAGCAAACTGGGCAGCAGATGGGACTAACCTTGCCCAAGGTCACACAGCTGGGAATGCCAGAGCCTGGATGGAATCCACCCGTCCCCATGCCAGCTGTTGTCATGATGGGTCCCTGAAATGCTCCCTCCCATGTGTCTTAGGTCCTCTCTTCCCCACTTGGATAGGGTCCTCTGGGTGAGCCCCTGACTAAAAACCCAGGGGCTCTGCCCCTGCTTGCCCTACACTCTCAAGTGAGTCCAGGGCCCCTGCTGGGTCCCACGGTGCTCGGGCAGAGCCTCACCTTCCAGCATCCGCAGCTGCCGCTCCCGCTGCAGCTCCTGAGGGTTGAGGGAGGTGTTGCGGGCTGATAGCAGATAGAGGTAGGCACTGTCCCCATTCTGCCGCACCCCATGGGAGTGCAGGGTCTCCTGGTCTCGTGCCAGCCGCTGCCCAATCACCCACTGCTGCAAGACTGGTGGGAAGCCATAGTCCAGAAAAACCTGGTGGGGGCACCGAGAGAGAGAGTGGGAAGGCAGGGCCAGAGGAGAGAGAGGAAGCAGGAGCGAAAGGGAGAGCCTCCACCCCAGTGTCGCCCTCAGCCTCCTCACTCACCATGTCTTTGAGGGATGCCACTGTCATATCAGGGCGCACTGTGAGCCAGATGGTGACAGTGTGCATCTGAGCATCCTCCACGCTCACCCACAGCCTGCAGAGAACAGCAGGGGCTCAGCATGGGCTCTGGCCAGGGGTCCAGCCTCAGCCACCGGCTACAGACATGTACGTATTTGCACACAGGCGCATGGCCATGCACATACACACACACAACCCCCAGTCTGGGGTAGGCCCCCACCCATGCTTCCTCCTTTATTAGAACCCAAAGTTAGGCCCCTCCAATGGCTCCATGCTACTCTTAGAATCAACTCATGGCAGCACACGAGGGCCTCCATGATCTGGCGCCTCCCTGACCTCTCCAACCTCTTCTATCTTCTCTCTCCTGCTCCTTAGTCAAACCACCAAAAGTTGTTGTTTACTATATGCTAAGACTATTCAATGCACTGAATGTGTATTAACTCATTTAATCCTCTTAATGAACCCATCAGGCAGGTACTGCTGTATCCCTGTTTTACAGATAAAAATGTGAGGCACAGATAGGTTACAGTGACTCTGCCAAACTAAGCAACTAATAACTGTTAGAGGCAGGATTCATTTGTATATATTGATTTACTTTTAAGGCACAGGCTCTCTTTCTGTGGCCCAGGCTGGAGTGCAGTAGTGCTACCTTGGCTCACTGCAGCGTCAACCTCCTGGGCTCAAGGGATCTTCCCATCTCAGCCTCCTAAGTAGCTGGGACCACAGGCTCATGACCCCATGGCTAATTTTTTAAGTTTTTGTAGAGACAGGGTGTCACTGTGTTGCCAAAGCTGGTCTCGAACTCTTAGCCTCAAGTGATCCTCCTGCCTTGGCCTCCTGAAGTGGGATTACAGGAGTAAGCCACTGTGTTCAGCCAGAGGCAGGATTTAAATCCACATGGTATTATTCCAGAGAAAGTGGTTTTAACTTTCTCGAGGATCCTCCAACATTTTTGAAAAATCAAAAGCATGAGAAGATGAAAAAGCAGAACTGACCCCAAAGCAAACAGAGATCATTTAGGGTATAGAACAATAAGCAACAGTGAAGTCTAAGTAGTACCTTCAGAGAGATTTGGGAAAACATTGCGTTCAGAAAGCAAGAAAAGGCATGAAGTAACCAAAAAATGAGAAAGAGTCCTGCACGTTAAAAGTGACTGCTGAATCCCAGCACTTTGGGAGGCTGAGGTGGGTGGATCACAAGGTCAGGAGATCAAGACCATCCTGGTTAACACAGTGAAACCCTGTTTCTACTAAAAATACAAAAAAAAAAAAAAAAAAAATTAGCTGGGCGCTGTGGTGGGCGCCTGTAGTCCCAGCTACTCGGGAGACTGAGGCAGGAGAATGGCATGAACCCGGGAGGCGGATGTTGCAGTGAGCCAAGATTGCACCACTGCACTCTAGCCTGGGCGACAGAGTGAAACTCTGTCTTAAAAAAAAAAAAGGAAAAAAAAAAAGTGACTGCTGACTACCTGAACCTTTATCTCTAACTACCAGTTACAGGAAAAATGGGAGATAGTAAATGACACTATGACAGTCTGGGTATTTGTCCCCGCCCAAATCTTATCTTGAACTGTAATCCTCAGTATTGAAGGTGAGGCCTGGTGGGAGATGTTTGGGTCATAGGCACAGCTCCCTCACAGCCTGGAGCCGCTCTCACCGTAGTGACTTCTCGCCACAGTGAGTCCTCGTGAGATCTGGCTGTTGTAAAGTGTGGCACCTCCCCGGCAACTATCTCTCTTTCTCCCTCTCTCACCATGTGAAGTGCCTGCTCCCGCTTCAGTAAAAGCTCACTGAGGCCTCCCCAAAAGCCAAGCAAATGTCAGGACCATGCTTCCTATGCAACCTGCAGAACTGAGTCAATTAAACCTCTTTTCCTTTTTTTTTTTTTCCTGAGACAGAGTTTTGCTCTGTCGCCCAGGCTGGAGTGCAGTGGCGCGATCTTGGCTCACTGCAAACTCCACTTCCCAGGTTCACGCCATTCTCCTGCCTCAGCCTCCCCAGTGGCTAGGGCTACAGGTGCCCACCGCCACGCCCGGCTAATTTTTTGTATTTTTCGTAGAGACGGGTTTCACCGTGTTAGCCATGATGGTCTCCATCTCCTGACCTCGTGATCTGCCCACCTTGGCCTCCCAAACTGCTGGGATTACAGGCGTGAGCCACCGCGCCCCGCCAAACCTCTTTTCTTTGTAAATTACCCAGTCTCAGATATTTCTTTGTAACAATGCTAGAGTGGCTAATACATACCATGAAGAGGTAATGGATAGATCCAGAATATGGGGAAAATTCTAGAGGTCAAAAGACCAGGTTTCTTAAAAAAAACTAGTGGCATAAAAATAGAGAAGAATAAAAGAGACTTAAGACATATTAAGAAATGCTATGTGTAGATCTTGTTTGGTTCTTGATTTGAAGAAAACAAACTGTAAAAAGCACTAATGAAATAGGAAAATTTGAATATAAACAGTGCATTAGGGGATTTTAAGGAATTCTTATTCCTTTTCTAAGGTGTGATAATAGTATTGAGGGTTTTTTGTTTGTTTTTTGTTTTTTTTGAGACAGGGTTTCGCTTCTGTCACCCAGGCTGGAGTGTAGTGGCATGATCTTGGCTCACTGCAGCTTCAATCTCCTGGACTGCAGTGACCCTCCCACCTCAGCCTCCCGGGTAGCTGGGACTAGAGGGGTGCACCACCATGTCCAGCTAATATTTTGTAGAGATAAGGTTTCACTATGTTGCCCAGGCTGGTTCTGAACTCCTGGATTCAAGCAATCCACCTGCCTCAGCCTCCCAAAGTGCTAGGATTACAAGCATGATCCACCGTGCCCGGCCAAGTCCTAATTTTTTGAAGACACATACTAAAGATTTAAGGATAAAATAATATCTGAAATTTGTTTAAAAGTAGTCCAGAAAATGTTCTTAAAATTCTTCAGGTAAACAATTTGAATACCCAGTCGACTGTCAATGAATTGAGAGAGCAAAATACAGATTTTTTTTTTTTTGAGGAGTCTTGCTCTGTCGCCCAGGTTGGAGTGCAGTGGCGCGATCTCCACTCACTGCAAGCTCTGCCTCCCGGGTTCACGCCATTCTCCTGCCTCAGCCTCCCCAGTAGCTGGGACTACAGGTGCCCGCCACCGCGCCCAGCTAATTTTTTGTATTTTTAGAGACGGGGTTTCACCATGTTAGCCAGGATGGTCTCGATCTCCTGACCTCGTGATCCACCCGCCTCGGCTTCCCAAAGTGCTGAGATTACAGGCATGAGCTACCGCGCCTGGCCTAGAAATTTTTAAACATGCAAAAACTAAAAATTTACCACATTTTCCACATGAAAAGTTCTTGAAAAACAAAAATAGATGAGTCTCATACAAGAGAATAGAAGAAAAGTAAAACATGAAAAGGACTGGATCTTAACCCCAAAATGTTCTTCCAGCAATAAGGGTTTTGAAACATAAAAGTGCATATGGTTTCGACTGTGCTAGTTATTCTATAGTGAATAATATTTCCATAATCAAAATACTATAAATCCTTTCTAGTAGTATTGCACTTTTAGAATCAACCTAGAGGCAAAGCATAAAAGCCTTAATTATGTTAGAAAACAAAATTTTTAAAAGCTATAATCTTAACACTATCAACAAAAAAATACAGCTGGAGCTCATTCAATGTCACATCAAGATCGCTGGTGAACAGCAGAGCATCACAAAAACAGCTGCAGTCAAAGCTTAAACACTTAATTTTAACTTACATGCTATAAATGCATATTCACTGGCCAGTCTCTAGGTGTAGAGCCAACGGCTTTTCTCTCTTTCTTTCTTTGAGACAGGGTTTCACCTTGTCACTCAGGCATGATCATGGCTCACTGCAACCTCAACCACCTGAGATCTAATAATCCTCTGGCCTCAGCCTCTCAAGTAGCTGGGACTACAGGTGTGTGCCACCCAACCTGGCTAATTTTTTCATTTTTTGTAGAGACAAGTTCTCACTATGTTGCCCAGCCTGGTCTTAAACTCCTGAGCTCAAGTCATTCTCCTGCCTGAGCCTCCCAAAGTGCTGAGCCGCCATGTCCAGCATGAGTTTATACCTGCTGACTGGAGTTTCCCATGGATTTTTCTTTTTTTTGTATGAATCACATCCATAATCATGATCTATATATTTCTAGTAGCGGCTTCTTTAAAGTGAGCAAGAACTTAGACACACTCCTGAAGCATCAGAGCACAGAGCCCTTCTGGATTTTTACTGTATTTCCTTACTACTGTCTCACCCAAAAGTGTTAATCTGTGTGTGTGTGTGTGTGTGTGTGTGTGTATGTGTCTGTGTGATTTGTCTCTTGTCTTTTTAAAGCAATCAGCTTATTTTCACAGAAACAACTCTTTCAGTGCTCATGTTTTATTAATTAATGTAACAGCTAAGTAAACTATGTTATTACCAATAACACATACAACAGGTATCATTTGCTAGGAAGCATAGGGTCCATCGATGAGAACCCAACAGCAGGTCTGGAGAGGTGCTGGTTGCCCACAGCCTCTCAAAACTCAGGTTCTGATCCAGCAAGTCTGAGGTGGGACCTGAGATTCCCCCCATGTTGTGGTCCAGGGGCCACACTTTAATAGCAAGATGGTGGCTGACATTGTACATTTTACAGAGGAAACGCCAGTGCCAGTTAGTTAATTCAGGGGATCAACTGGAAGTCAACTGGGAAAATGTCCACAATGATACTTCAACAAAAAAAGTCATGAAAAGCAAAGGTGGAAGATGAGTATGTTAACTTCCTCATTTTTCATAGCAAGGAGTACACAGGTACTGTCTCAATCAACCATTTCAAGAAGTAGATATACCAATATTTTGTTTAAAATCAAGTGGCCAATGATCTACAGATTCAATGAAATCCCTACCAAAATCCCATTTGTTTTTTTTTTTCTTTTTTGCACAACCAGACAAGCTGATCCTAAAATTTATATGGAAATTCGAGACTTGCAATAACCAAAACAATATTGAAAAAGAACGAAAGCTGGAGAACTTCCATTTCCTGATTTCAAATACTATGAAGTTACAGTAATCAGAACAGTGTGGTACTGGCATAAGGGCAGATGTATATTATAGTTCAATGGTATAGAAATGAGAGTTCAGAAATAAGCATTCATATTTATGGTCAATTAATTTTCAAAAAGGTTAAGATGATTAAACAGGGGAAAATAGTCTTTTTAACAAATAGTGCCGGCACAACTCAATATCCACATGCAAAAGAATGAAGTTGTACCCTTACCTCACACCATATATAAAAATTAAATCAAAATGGACCAAAGACCTAAATGTAAGAGCTAAAACCATAAAATATTTAGGAGAAAATATAGAGGTAAATCTTCATTACCTTGGATGAGGCAATGATTTCTTAGATATGACACCAAAAGCACAAACAACAAAATAAAACATAGACTACCTGGACATCATCTAAATTTAAAACTTTTGTGCTTCAAAGGACACCATCAACAAAGTGAGAAGACAACCCACAGAATGAGTGAGAATTTTTGCAAATCATGCAGCTGATAAGGCACTTCTATCTCAGATGAATAAAGTATTCCTACAACTCAATAATAAAAACATAAACCCAGCTGGGTGTGGTGGCTCATGCCTGTAATCCCAGCACTTTGAGAGGCCAAGGTGGGTGGATCACCTGAGGCTTCAGGAGTTCAAGACCAGCCTGGCCAACACAGTGAGACTCCATCTCTACTAAAAATACAAAAATTAGCTGATGTGGTGGTGGGCACCTGTAGTCCAGCTACTCAGGAGGCTGGGGCAGGAGAATCATTTGAACCTGGGAGGCGGAGGTTGCAGTGAGCTGAGATCGCACCATTGCACTCGTGCCTGGGCAATACAGTGAGACTCCATCTCAAAAAAAAAAATAAATAAATAAACCCAATTTTAAAATGGGCAAAAGACCTAAATAGGCAAACCTCCAAAGAAAATATGCAAATGGCAAATAAGCACATGAAGATGCTCAACATCATTTGTCATCAAATGGTTAGGAAATTGCAAATCAAAACCACAATGAGATACCTCTTCAAATTTACTAGGATGACTATAATAAAATAGATAAATAACAAGTGTTAGAGAGGATGTGGAGAAACTAGAACCCTCATATATGCTGGTGGGAATGTAAAACGGTGTAGCCACTTTGGAAAACTGTCTGGCATTTCTTTAAAAGGTTAAACATAGAGTTACAGTATGACCCAGCAATTCCACTCCTACTATATACCCAAGAGAAATGAAAACATGTCCACACAAAAAGTTGGACACAAATGTTCATGGCAGCATTGTTTATAATAGCCAAAAAATAGAAACACCCAAATGTCCATCAACTGATTTAATCAGTAATGATAATGAGGTATGTCCATACAATAGATTATTATTTGGCAATAAAAAGGAATAAGGTTCTGGCTGGGCATGGTGGCTCACACCTGTAATCCTAGCACTTTGAGAGGCTGAGGTGGGAAGACTGCTTGGGCCAGAAGTTCAAGACCACCCTAGGCAACACAGCAAGACCTTATCTCTACAAATTCTTAAAAAATTAGCTGGGTGTGATGGTACACACCAGTAGTCCCAGCTACCTGGGAGGCCAAGACAGGAGGACTGCTTGAACCCAGGAAGTTGAGGCTGTAGTGAGAGATGACGGCACCACTGCACTTCAACTTGGACAACAGAGTGAGACCTCATGTCAAAAAAAGGGGAATGAAGTTGTTATACATGCTACAACATGGATGAATCTAGAAAACATGATCCTAAGTGAAAGAAGCCAGACACAAAAGGCCACATGTTGTATGATTCAACTTATATGAAATTTCCAGAGAAGGGAGATCCCTAGAGATAAAAAGTAGATTAGTGGTTGCCTAAGGTTGGGGAGTTAGGGAAAAGGTAGAGAGATGGAGACTGACTGCTAATGCGTACCAGGTTTCTTTACAGGATGATGAAAATGTTCTAAAATTGATTGTGGTAATGGTTGCACAAACTTGAATATACTAAAAGCCATTGAACTGTATACTTTAAATGGTTGAACTGTATGGATAAATAAATAAATAAAACTGTTTTAAGAAAAATCAAATGGGACCTACCATGAAAACTGAAAATCAGAAACCATAAAACTATTGCCTTACTATCCAGTAATGAAAAAGCAGTCAAAAAAGAACCATAGACACTAATGTTTATTGAGTGCATAATACACGCCAGGCACTGTGCAAAGTGTTTCAGCATTGAGTTTAAGTCTCCTGGAGCAGAGACTGACAGTATCCATTCTCTTCCCTTCCCTTACCAAGCAAACCCCTGAATTCTAGTTGAATATCCTGACTATACAGTCTTCCCTCAAGTTGAACTGTAGCTGTACAAATCAGTTCTGGTCCATAGAAATTAATGGAAGAAGTGTGTACAACTTTTGAGCTATGCTCTTTAGAGGAATGTGGAGGGGTGCCTTTCTTCCCTTCCTCCTGTGATGTGATGGCTGGATGGAGCTGGAATGGCCATTTTGCACCATGAGGAATCTGGGAATGAAGGGCAGAACAGTGAGAGAAGCAACATGAGCCTCTGAGGACTGTGGGGAGCAGAACCCCCCTATCTGGACTCCCTGCCATAAATTTGTTTACATCACTGCTCTGTTTTCTTCTGTTGTGTAAGGACTAACATACAGTACACCTCCTAACAACCCTATGAGATAGCTACTGTTACGGTCATCCTAATACAGTACACCTCCTAACAACCCTATGTTATGGTCTGATTTTTAACATGAGGACACACTGAGAGGTGAAGTGACCTGCCCTATATTTCACAGTTGATTAATGACATAACTAGGGTTAGAAGCCAGGCCTGCTGAAGCCAGAACCTGCCATTAGGAAGAACTGTTTTACAGGCAAGAATGTCCTGTCCTGTTGTCCCTAGGGTTCAGGCCAGCCATGCACTCCTCACCTGATGTCCTGCGTTGGGGAGACCTCAGGCTTCAGTTGCACACTCAGGGGCACCCGTTGCTCTGCCAGCCAGATAGCACACTTCATTGCCACCTGTTCATCCCCGCCCGCCACTGCTCGGGTGAGGCTCAGGGCCATTTCCTCTGCTGAAAGCCAGTACAGCAGGAGCCAGTTAGCACAGGGTTTTATTTTCAGGAGGTGGGCGTAATGGGGTAGGAAAGGAGATGATCCTTTGTGTGTGCTGCTTTCTCTGTCTTCCTGGTGAACTCCTACATATCCTTCAGCACCCAGGCTAAAAGTCCCTTTCTCTGGGAGGGGTTCTTTGATATTCCCCACTCCTCCTCACTCTAGGCTCATTTGGTTCTGTTTGTCCTTCATATTCCCAGGGTCCCTCATACTTCTATTCATTTATCCAATAAGCAGTTATTGAGCTCCTACTGTGTGCCACCCACTGTCCCAGGAACTGGAATCCCACAGAGATTTATAAACAGGGTCCCTCTCCTTATGGATCTCCCTGCCCAGTGGGGAAACAATGAACAAGTTTAACAAGAAAAAAAAAAAAGTCAGATTGTGATCCTTGCTGGCAGGAAAATAAACAGGTTAAGGAGACCAGGGGAGGCTTCTGGGAGGGAGTAACACTGAAGGTGAGACCTGAAGGAGGAGAAGCTGCACGTGTCAAGCCCCAGTGGGGAAGAGTGGTCCAGGTGGAAGGAAGAGTAAGGGCCTTGGCCAAGAAATGGTTGGATGAGAACCGAAAGAAGCCAGTGGGGCTCCAGTAGAGTGAGCATGGCGGGGTGACTGAGGAGAGATGTCCTGTGGGCCACCCAGGGGCTCTGGGTTCTGTTTGTAGAATACAGAGGGGCATGGGAAGGTTTCCAGCAAGGCAGTGACTGACTTCTGTTCTACAACCCTAGGTGCAGGGGGCAAGAGAAAAGGCAAGGACCCCTGCTACTCAGGTCAACTGAGGTCTGTATCCCACCAGCCCAGGAGGTCTCCAAGTTCAATGCCCTGTGTCCTCTGCGAGTCCCCAAGCCCCATCTCAGCACAGAGCCGGCCCAAGGAGTTCTCAGGGCCCCAAGATGGCTCTGGAAGCCAGTAGGTACTAAAGGAGGAAACTGATGGGGAGGGGGGCAGAGGGAGGGCAGGCTAAAGCCCCCTCTCCAAGGTCCTTCCAGGCAGGCAAGGCCAGGTCCTGCGGGGCCCACTTCCCACCGGAAGGTCCCCAGCCACCTCCAGCCTCTGCCCACCTTTCTTGGTCTTCTCGTCCATCTGGCGTGGCTGCGCCCATCCCCCTGCGGGGGACCGTGCCTCCTGGGAAATGCTACCTCCGGGTCGCCTGGGAGAGGCGGGAGACCAGGAGCAACTCAGCCAGGCCGTGTGGCCTCCGGCGCGGCCCAAGTTCTGTCTGTGCCTCGCTGTCCCCGCGGCAATCGGGAAGCATCACACTGCCTGGTGACCAGGCCGTGATCCCGAGTGGGGCGGTGAGAGGGCAGCGGGCGCCGAGACAAGTCCGCACTGGGCGCAAGAGGAAACGGGACCAGCCGAGGTGGGGAGAAGCGGGGAAAGGACGCCCGGACACCGCCCAGCCGGGGCGTTCCAAGTCCCGGAGGACCCCCACTTGCGGGAGCACTCCTGGCGTCCTGGGTTTCAACGCAAAGCCCTCTCTCCTCCCAGGAGGCCCCAGTTCTTCGCAAGCGGAGCGGCTTCGGCGGAAGAGAAAGTGAAAGTGGCGGCCCCGGAAGTGGGGCGGGACTGGGAGGGGGGCCGGAAAAATTGTCGCCTCATCCGGGACCTCCAATGCCCGGCCACCCGGCGGCGGCGGACGCCGAGGGCGGGGTTCCAGCGCTCCCGGCGCTCCTGTTTGGGGCGACCCCACCCTGTCCTCCGGGGCTGACCGCGGACCCCCGGACCCCCGCCGGGCTCACCCTGCGGCCTGCACCGCGGAGCAGCGGGAGGGGGCAGGGCCGAGAGGCGGGGTGGGCGGGGCGCGGGGCCCGGGGCCGGGGGCCGGGGGCCGGGGGCAGTAGCAGGAACCTGAGCAGGAGCTGGAGCCGGGGCTGGAAGGCGGCTAGATCCACAGCGTCGAGCTGCCGGGGACGGGTTAGGAGCGCCCCCTGCGAGGCCGGCGCCTGCTCACCCAAGCCTCAGGCATACCACGGGGCAGGCCCGGTCCTTGGCTCCGTTTGCAAATGAATAAACGAAGGCTCTGTTTGTTGATGACCTGTGCAAGGCCACTCAGCCGAGGTTTGAATCCAGGCCTGGCAGGCTCAGGAACCCGCCCTTACCCAGGTCCGACGCTGCCTCTCAGCGGTCACCGTCTGTCTTTTCGTTGAGCTATTGGTGAAGTTTGCATTCGCCTGCTTTAATTTTTCTCCCGCTCCTCGTCCCATCGATCAGCAGATCCTGTGGGCTCCACTTGCAGACTCTCATCCCTCACCTCCTCCGGCCCCATCCCGCTCCAGCTCCATCAGTGCTCCATCATCTCAGGGGTCCTGAATCAGCCTCCTCCTGGGCCTCCTTGCTTCTCTTTTTGCCCTCTTCTGTCCATTTCCACCCAGCTGCCTGAGAGTCCTGTTAAAATGTAAATCAAACTCAGGCCACTCCCCGACTCAAGTACTCCCATCTCGCTTAAAGTAACAGCCGAGATCTTCCCCAGTGCTTGCAAACTGCCTCCAGATCTCTGTCTTCGTAGCTGACTACCCTGCCCTTGCCTCACTCCACTCAAGTCCCATTGACCTGCTGGGTCCTGGAGTAAGTCAGACACACTCCTGCCTTAGGGCCTTTGCACCTGCCGTAACCCAAACGTCTGCATGGCTCGCTCCTTCCCTTTATTTTGGTCTTTACCCAAAAATCTTCCCTAGCTACTCCATCTGAAATTTCACAGACACGCATGTATCCAGCATTTCACATCCGCCTTCCTGGCTTCATTTTTTTTTTCTTCTCAGCATCTATTACTGTCTAACGGAGCATATTTTACTTATTTATGTTTTTCTGGGTCTCTTTTCCTCTCCTCGAGGGCAGGGACTTTTTGGTTTGTTTTGCTCACTGCTGTGTTCCTGGTGTCTAGCACAGTTCCAAACATGTAACGGAGGCTCCATATGTTGAATGAAGGAATGAACCTGATCTTCATCTGGGATAATTTTTCTTTTTTCTTTTTTCTTTTTTTTTTTTTTTTTTGAGACAAGAGTCTCGCTCTGTCGCCCAGGCCAGAGTGCAGTGGCGCGATCTCGGCTCACTGCAAGCTGCCCCTCCCGAGTTCATGCCATTCTCCTGCCTCAGCCTCCCGAGTAGCTGGGACTACGGGCGCCCGCCACCAGGCCTGGATGATTTTTTGTATTTTTAGTAGAGACGGGATTTCATCGTGTTAGCCAGGATGGTCTCGATCTCCTGACCTCATGATCCGCCTGGCTCGGCCTCCCAAAGTGCTAGGATTACAGGCATGAGCCACCGAGCCCGGCCCATGTGTGATAATTTTTCTTTTGCCTGAAACGCATCTCTTAAGACAATGTTTTTCAACCTTGGCTGTACATTTGAATGGCCTGGGGCAAGCTTTTTTTTTTTTTTTTGAGACGGAGTTTCACTGGTGTTGCTCAGGCTGGAGTGCAGTGGCGTAATCATGGCTCACTACAGTCTCCAACTCCTGGGCTCAGCTTCCTGAGTGGCTGCAACCACGGCCACGTGCCACCACACTTGGCTAAGTTTTGTAGAGACAGGGTTTGGTCATGTTCCCCAGGCTGGTCTTGAACTCGTGGGCTCAAGAGATCTGCCCACCTCGGCCTCCCAAAATACTGGGAAATGGTTGCTGTTGAGACATCATCACCTGTCAATCTAACTGCTGTTCTTTTTATAAACAACTTTATTGAGATATAATTTATATGCCATAAAATCCACCCACTTAAAATATACAATTTAATAGTTTTTAGTAACATTTACAGAATTGTGCACCCATCACCACAATCAAATTTTAGAACATTTTTGGCTGGGCATGGTGGCTCACACCTGCAATCCCAGCACTTTGGGAGGCTGAGGCGGGCAGATCACTTGAGGTCAGGAGTTCGAGACCAGCCTGGCCAACATGGTGAAACCCTGTCTCTACTAAAAATGCAAAAATTAGCCAGGTGTGGTGGTGGTCATCTGTAATCCTAGCTACTGCGGAGCCTGAGGCATGAGAATTGCTTGAACCCGGGAGGCGGAGGTTGCAGTGAGCTGAGATCGCACCATTGTACTCCAGCCTGCGTGATAAAGCGAGATTCCATAAGAAAAGAAAGGAAGGAAGGAAGGAGGGAGGGAGGGAAGGAGGGAGGGAGGAAGGAAGGAAGGAAGGAAGGAAGGAAGGAAGGAAGGAAGGAAGGAAGGAAGGAAGGAAGGGAAAGAAAGAGAGAGAAAGAAAGAAAATTTTTATTACCCCAAAATAGACCTGTACTCATTAGCAGACATTCCCTCTTCCCCATCCTCCAACTGACAGCACTAATATACTTTATGTCTCTATAGACTTTCCTCTTCCTGATATTTTATAGAAATTAGATCTTACTGATGGGCCACAGTGGCTCATGCCAGTAATCCCAGCACTTGGGGAGGCCAAGCCGGGTGGATCGCTTGAGCCCAGGAATTCAAGACCAGCCTGGGCAACATGGTGAAACTCCATCTCTACAAAAAATATAAAAATTAGCCGAGTGTGATGGTGTGCACCTGTAGAGCAGTGATTGCCCCACTGCACTGCAGCCTGGGTGACAGAGTGAGACCAAAAAGAAAATTAGGCTTTGACAATATGTGAACCTTTGTGACTGGCTTCTTTCACTTGGCATAACATTGGGGTTTTTCTTGACATAATGTTTTTGAGGTTTATCCATGTGGTAGTACTGGGTATTTTTTGTTTTTTGTTGTTGTTTTGGGATTTTGTTTGTTTGTTTGTTTTGTTTTTTGTTCTTAGAATCTCTGAATCTTTTCCTCTGAGTGCTTTTAAGAATTTTTTTTTTTAATATTTGGGGTTTTTTTTGCATTTTTACTATGATGTGTCTATGTGTGAAATTTATGGAGTTTCTTGAATCTGTGATTGGTGTCTGATTTCTGTCTCATTAATTCCCTCTTTAGCCATGTCTAATTTGCTGTTTAGCCCATCTTTTAAATTTAATTTTTGTGTATGTGTGTGTGTGATGGAGTTTCACTCTTGTTGCCCAGGCTGAAGTGCAAATGGCATGATCTTGGCTCACTGCAACCTCCGCCTCCTGATTCTCCTGCCTCAGCCTCCTGAGCATCTGCCACCACTCCTGGCTAATTTTTTGTATTTTTGGTAGAGACTGGGTTTCACCATGTTGGCCAGGCTGGTCTTGAACTCCTGACCTCAGGTGATCCATGTGCCTCAGCCCCGCAAAGGGCTGGGATTACAGGCATGAGCCACCACACCTGGCCAACATTTTGTTTTGTAATCTGCATCTGATAATACTGATATGCAAACTCTGGGCATATCTGTTTCTGTCCGTTTTCACTCCTATTGTCTTGTTTTCTCCTAATGACCTTGCTGATTTATTATGGTCATGTACCATCAGCCCTGAGTGACCTGCACATATTTATATTGGGGGCAGCTATATTGTTTCAGGTTTTCTGGTCTCAGCCTTGGCCCTTCAGGGGAAGAGCTGGCATTCAAATTGAACACCCTTCACCTCAGTGGGTAGACTCTAGTCATTCAAACTTGGGTTCCAATCTCAGTGCTACAGTTCACTATCTCTGTGACCCTGGACAAAGATTCCCCCATCTGGGCCTCAGTTTCTTTCTCTGTACAATGGTGATTATAATGGCTCCTCCCACATAGGCTGTTGTGAGAATCTGTACAAGTTATTAATTATTGATACATAGCAAATTTCCCAAAATTAACAGCTTAAAACAGCAATAAACATGTATGCTGTTACACAGTTTCTGTGGGGTAGGAGCTGGGGAGCAGCTACATAGATGGTTCTGACTCTGGGTCTCTCATGAAGTTGTAGTTAAGATGTTGGCTGGGGCTGCAGTCATCTGAAGGCTTGACTGGGGCTGGAGGATCGACTCAAGAAAGCTCTCTCATGTGCCTGGGTGGTGCTGGTTATTTGCAGAATGCCTACGTTCCTCACCACGTGTACGTTTCCACAGGGGTAATTGAGTGTCCTCACAACATGGCAGCTGGCTCTCCCCAGAGCAGATGATCCAGAAAAGCAAAGCAGAAACCTTAACGTATTTTATGACCTAATCTTAAAAGTCATACTTTCTCATTTCACAATATCCTATTAATTACACTGGTCAGCCCAGCTCAGGATAGGACGAAACTGTTCAAAGGTGTGAATACCAACTGGTGAAGGCCACTGGGGGCCATTTGGCTGTCACATATGAAGTGAGATGATGCAGGTAAAGCACTCAGAGCCATGTCTGGCACGTGCTATGTGTTCATCCCAATCAGTGTCCTGGCTTTGCTCTAGGCAGGTGGAATCTGTACAGGAACAACTTTTATTCAATCATTCCACAAACATTTATTGAGCACCCCTGTGTACCAGGCACTGTTCTAGGAAATGAGGGAACAGTTATAAACAAAACATAGTCCTTGGCCTTATGAAACTCAAAAAAACATAAAATACACTGCCCGGTGGTGCTCAGCGCTATGAAGAACCATAAAGCCAGGTAAGGGAAGAGAGAACAATGAGGAAATGAGGCCTGGGTGTCTTTCTCCATGGATCTGGTACAACTGTAGTGGTGGCTTAGATTCTGACCTCTGCTAAAGCCCTCCCTCCCCTGTGAGTGCATCCTGGCATCACAGGCATGTAAAATTTATACCCATTTTACATCTAGGCTAAAGTCAAACTGGTCCAGAGAAGAGCTGAAATAAGATTTGAGTCCCCAAGGAGTCCGAATTTCTTCAAATACAGAGGTTCTCCAACTTGGAGGCCCAGCAGCATCACCCAGGGAGCTTGTTAAGATGCAGGAGCCCAGATGTTCTGACTCTCTAG